TTACCATGGTAGTTTATATCTTGACTGTGTATGTTTCATGAGATTTTATTACTTAGAACTGTTAGTTTTTACGAAAATATGATCTAACTGGTTTAGCGTGAGTTAAAAACTTAACTAATTTTTTAGAAAGTTGCTGAAACAATTCCAGCTGTAGTACAGGGGGTCAAGGGAACCATGAAAGAACCAGATAATGCCAACAGCCAGTTGTTTTTGATTAATGCATCTGAACAAATGATTCAGGTTAGTTTTTTACAGAATGGGTGAACAAATTTTTCTTTTTTATATCTTTTTTGTGATTGTACTTCATGACAGTCAAAGTAATCTGCATCCTTTTATGTTAATTCGGCTCTACTTGGTTCTAAATGTGATAGAGTTTTATTTTCACAGCCATGTGTTGGCATGATTTCGGCATCAAAAGCAGCTCTTCCAACAATCACCGACCCATCCTCAGTCACGCAGCTAAATAATACTTCCAGGGATATGGCCACGGCATTGTCAGAGCTTCGTAGTGCTTTATCGAAGGTAACAGTTTACATTTGGTTTTATGTGGAGATAAAGAAAAACACTTCTTATCCAACCAATGAAATAAAAAGTCAACTATTATGATTAGATATATTAGTGATGTGAGACATTTTGATTTCTGTGAGTTATTTATGAATAATTTTGATCTAGGTCATCACAAATTGCACATACACCATATTATTCATAGTCTGTTCTCACATAACATTATTTATAGCATTTTGAATGTTTTTAAGTCTTGGTTTGATTTTAATATAAGAGGTAATTGTTTTTGTTGTATTTTTTGTGGTTTCAGTTACAAATAGTTTTGTTTTCACATAAGAAAGTATCAAAATTTTACATGTTATTGAATCTCATAATCTATTTAATCTGAGAATGAGATGTTTGTGCTGTCAGAATGCAGTAATTTCTTTTTTTATGTTACATTAAGTCATTTTAACCATATAGTTGCCCTCAGCGATGATATATGTAGTTTTATTTTAGGCTCAAGAAGCATGTGGAACCCTTGAACTTGACAGTGCTCTTGATCTTATCAATAGCTTGAATGATGAACTGGAAGCTTTCAAAAGAGCTGTAAAAGAATTTGATTTGAAACCATTGCCTGGAGAAACTGTAAGTTACTGATATGGACATTTTTCCATTTAAACAATTTTCATCTCCTCTTTTTTCTTTCTTTTTTATCTAAATAAGAGCAGAATAAGTTACATGTTCATGAAATTTTGTTTAAATTCACATTCAGATTTTTTAAATTTTAAATTACAGTTTATTTTTTGCTAAAGTAGTAAACAGTAAAAAAAAATCCTTTGTTCTAAAAAAATTGTATTAAGCAGAATGTATTAGAAAAGGCTTAACAAAATGAAAAATTCAATTGTTAACTAATGCAATAAAGAAATGGTATTTTGTCAAATATTCAAAAATTTCCTATTAATCTTTCTTCCATAAATACTGTTACTTCTATGAAAGCTTGTGCTGTGTACTTGTATATATTTTTATGAATGTTGTAGGTTTATTTTTGAATCTTACTACAATTTTGGTGGAGATAATATTCATCATTATATTTCTGGAAAAAAATCAAAGATAAAGAAACATTTAAGAACATTTCTTCTTTAACAGAATGAATCATCAACACTTCAGCTAGGAAGCACTTCCAAAACAGTTGGATCTTCAATGGCTCAACTTCTTACAGCAGCTTCCCAGGTATGCCCGTACTTCATCAAAACATAGCTTGTGCAGTTTTATTGGGGTCTTTTCTTTAGTTTTTAAGAGCATACTTTTCTTTTTATTTGTGAACATGCAAATTTCCACATATATCTAGATTTTACACTTTATCCACTTTTGTTCCACTTTTCAGGGATGGTTTTTATGATTTTTTATCTTCAACAACTAAGATAGCGTACAGTCAACAGAAAACCATTTGGTCCTTCAAAGCCATCCTCACACACACACACACACTAATGTGAAAAATAATTTAAAACCAATTCTTTATTTTTTAGGAAATACTAAGTCATTCCACCTCTTAAACTCTTGTAAAAGTAACAGCATCCACTATTGGCAATGACAATGTATTTCATAAGTAAATCACTGCTTTAGAAAAATAAAACTGTCTTAAAGGGATCCTAGCCTGTCTTTTTTCTTGTCTTAATATGAGTTCTCTCATCTTATTGTATCCAGAATATAACACAAAGGAATTAGTGGCCTTTATTCTCTGAATCACCTGGATAATCTTGTAAAATTCAATACTGAAGGTCACCTATCTACCCTTCTTTTCTCAACAAAAAATAAGAGATCTTAACCTATACATGTGAGATAACCCATCTATTCCCAGAATCATCCTAGTAGCCCTCTTCTGAACCCTTTCTAATAAATCAGTATTCTTTTTTAGTTGAAGAAATCAAAATTGTACACAGTATTTCAGTAAGGTTTAGTAGCGACAACAGAGCACTAACTCAATAACTTAAGTGACTTATACATTCCTATGCCAAGATCATTCTCCTTGGTCACACTAGTGAATGAGATTTCATCTATATTACATTTGTGATCCAACTCAAATGGGCCTGGCATGGCCAGGTGGATAAGGCACTCGACTCGCAATCTGAAGGTCGTGGGTTCGAATTCCCGTCCCACCAAACATGCTCGCCCTTTCAGCCGTGGGGGCGTTATAATGTGACGGTCAATCCCACTATTCGTTGGTAAAAGAGTAGCCCAAGAGTTGGCGGTGGGTGGTGATGACTAGCTGCCTTCCCTCTAGTCTTACACTGCTAAATTAGGGATGGCTAGCGCAGATAGCCCTTGTGTAGCTTTGCACGAAATTCAAAAACAAACAAACTCAAATGCATTACCTTGCACTTACTCTAATTAAAGATCATTTGCCAGATACTTGTCCAACATACCAACTGATCCAAGTCATTCTGTAGTGCTCAACATCCTCAGTATAGCTAGAAGTAGACAAGAGTTTAATGTCATCTGTAAACTTTACTAATTATGTCAATATCATTAATCTAAATAAAAAACAAAGGCCCAAGTACTGACCCTTAAAACATTCCACGACTAAGAAGGATCCAGTTTGACTGGACTCCATTAATAATAACTATCTGCATTCTCTTGCCTAGTCATCCTACAATCGAACTAACTAGCCCTTACCCAACCCTACTATGTGGCACTTTATCAAAAGCTTTTTGAAAATCTTTCCACCATCCAAATAACAAAGTAATATACTCTAGAAAAGATAATAGACTAGAAAGGCAAGATTTCATTTCTGTGAATCTATGTTACTTTTCTTTCATGATATCACATTTCAATAAATGATTTTGCAAAGTTGCTTTAATCAGATTCTCAAAAATTGTTCCCACTACAGAAGTGATATTAACTAGCTTGTAATTTTCAGAATAATTCATATTGCTCCATATCAAATTGGAGTAATACTAGTAAACTCTACAATCTGTATATTAGCCTACCAAAAATGAAGGACAAAGGTTTGTATATCTGATCTTTGACCTTTAAAACCTTGTTAGCCTGGTGCTTTATCTATTTTTCTTCTCTTACTCTTCGTACTTACCACCAAGTTAAAGCTATTTTTAACCCTTTAGCTATAGGCATCCTTTTCTGTGCATGTTGCATAGTTTTACTTAGTTTTATTCAAAATTTAATTAAACTACTTTCTTATCATGGTATATGAATATAATTGAATAAAATCATAGCTAATAGTCCAAATCTTAATATTATACAAGTTTCAAGTTCTTAATTTTATAAGGCAATATTAAAAATAATTCTGAATTTCCCCTAATATAAAAATTGTGACATTTGATCTCTAGGTATCCCTCTTCTCTAATTTAGTTACCACTGCTCTGAGAAGTCCAAAATAAAACATAAATTACTCATTATAATGTTGTCATCACTCGGGCAAAATAATTTTCATAGCCTTCAATTTTATTTAGTTACAGAGCATTAATACAGAAAATCTGACCCCAATTGCCACACCCACCTGTCACATCCTTTCTTTCAGAAATTGCCAATAGTTCTCTCTGACAGTTAATACTACATTGTTTATAGCCAATAGAAAGTCAGGATTTTAAGTTATCAAATTACGTTTTATAATACGTTGTTTTCTATATAGAAAAATTATCTATTTCACTTCCATTCAAACTTTATTCCCATGGGAAACACGATGATGAGCTTAGTTGAATTTTTAACAGATCTTATTGTTGCATAGTTAGAAATCCAGAAAAACTATGATAGTTATTGGATATTGTTTGCTTTTTGCATGTTATTATTCTGTGTTATTTGGTGCAATATTTAATTAAATAAAAAATTACTTAGTGTTGTAGTACCATTGGTCTAAAAATAATAAGGTTGTCGACAGCAAAAAAAAAAGATGACCCAGGTATTTTA